AGAAAAGCAGGGAATACCCAAGCTGGCATTCAACAGAAGTGAATATGAAATAGGCCATTTAAAAAAGTTGTAGGAAAGTTGAAATCCATGTTGACTGATTTTTACATTCGCCCAGCAGCATTCCCGTGCTTTCGCTGGCATGCAGACTGGAAAAGGAAACTTTCCACCAGTCTGTCACTTGCTACTGTTTCCACTTATTTTACTGTGACTCTAATTTTAACAGTTTTTTAAAAGTTTTTTTTTAAAGGTTGATTCCTTCTGTGTTTATTGTTTCAGAACATTTCTTAGCACGAAAACATGCTTGGGGGGGGTAAAAATCCAAGATTTGAGCTTCTAAAATTCAGCTGTTTAACATTCAGACAATTGCCTGCCCTTTTCTTTTTTTCTTTTTTTTACATTTCGTCTGAATGCTTTGGCACAGGGGAGTCCCACAGTCTGCAAGTAACTGTCTCAACTCTCCTTACTGCATTTATTAGAAGCTGAAATATGCATATGCTTTCCAACAGTCTGTGGTCCGGAAAGAGGAAAGTCGGAGGTTCTGACCATGGTTGGGGATGTGGGGAGGGGGCACAGGGAGCACACAAACAAGTTTAGTGTGGTCACACCTAGGTAAGTAACTCTTGAACTCGTCTTTGTTGATGTGCACAGATGCACAGGCTAGGGTCAGGGAGAGGAAGGCGAAGTTGTCTTTTGGCCCCTCATGAAGTGCCTAGAACCCAGAGGCCACTCCGTTCTTGTTGACTTGTCCTATCACATCTTCCAAAACTGAACACAGGTCTTCCGGGGCTGGAAAAAGAGAGCGAGCTGCCCACCTAGGGGTTAAGGAGCCTGAGGCTGGCACACGGGGTCTGGAGTTCTCATTTCCAGTTGGCATCTTCCTGAGCTGCTCTGGCTGAAAAAGAGCAGAGGAAATACATGTGAGGCAAATCAGAGAGGAGAAGGTCGGGAACAGATGTGAGCATCAAGAGAAGGCATTTTAAATTGAAGAAATACGCCTCCCACAGCTGGAAGGACAAACCCCTCCGCCATCAGGGTGGTGGGTGACTGGGGGGCTCTCTTTGCTCTTTTTCCTTGCCTTTCGCGTTTCCAGTGTTGGATTCTGTCTTTTCTGTTCAGTTGTCCCTCGAGGACAGAGCTGGTGGCAGTATATGGCATGCAGTGGGCGCTGCTATGGATGTGCCCAGACGCACACATTCGGGCTGTGGCGCCCCCCGCCCCACCCCGCGCCCCA